AGAGTCTTCCGGAGGTTCTGGATTAGAGATGCAACCTATCGTATGGGAATCATTGGACATGCAACTGAGTGGGGCTGGACGCAACTTAGAGAGCATCGAATATGCTCGTCGACAATGTTCAAATCCAGTTCCCTGGGTAAATTTATTGCGCATGTAGGGTTAAATATTTCCGCTTTCATGATATCACATAGCATGAACAGGACTGCAAATGAGAAAAGGTAGCTGCCAGGAATGGTAGCATCACAACAGTAGGGATGAGGAGAGGGAGATCAAATCTTCAATATATCGATGACCGTTATATATATTGGGATAATACTGCTGATCTTGATGTAATTTCCTCTTTTCCATTCTAAATTCTTATTATTTATGCAAAGACTACGATAGACCCAAGAACATACATTACCTTGTGTATCGTTATATTAATACACCGTATCATTCATCATGCCGGTTTCGCCCAAGGATCACAGATATATCAAAAAAGTGAAAATTGGGAGGAAATAGGAAATTACCACAAAGCAGGGGAAGGGCGTGGATTAGACGATTTATATAGACGAATTTTATCCACGATATGCATAGTGAAGAGGTGACTATTACTCCCAAACACAACAAAAATTTTTCTCTCCAACGATTCATTGCCCGGTATTCTCAGCAACCGGGTCGTAGAGCTTACGTCCACTTTTATGCTTTTTATTCTCATCCTCTGAATCACTATTTTCGTCTTCGTCAATTGTCCCCAATGCAAAATAATCACCATTTTTTGGCCCGGGCAACGCCGCTTGAGCAGCGGCTTCATCGACGACATCCTCTTTGGTACGAGATTGGCGTCTAGAAGCCCGCCAAACCCATAATGATAGGACAAATGCATTCACGGTAATAAGGCTTGCCATCGAAGCTATCCATGTCACGCTGAACCTTGAAAGTAACATCCCAGTGATAATATTGCTCCAGCCAAGAATAAGTGTAAGGCGTCCGAGCCAGATATGGCCATATGAAGCCCATTGACGACGACGTAATTGAACAAAGACCCGATGGTGTTGCCAACCCAGCAAACTCTGTATGAAGAGGAAGGACCCTAGACATATGCCAATCCATTGGTGGACAGTGCTCAAGCGATGATTCATAAAGAGTCCCATAATTATACCAGACCAGGCGCATAGACTCGCAGCTAGTTGGAGGGCCCAATGATATTTGAATGCATTTCCAGACCCAGAACGTATTGTGGCGGTACCAAGTGGGAAGAGAATGAAAAAGGAGACAACCATTACAAAACCGTGGATAGAAGGTATCGGATTCTCTTTCACGAAGTTGACCATACCGCCAGCAGTCATAGGACTATCAGACGTCCCTAATCGAGCGACACCGACTCTGAGCGGAGGTAAAGACGGTGGGTCGGTGGACGTGCTAACGGATCGCGCCATGTCAACGTAGAAATTTCCCCAGCCACCACTACTGGCATGGTGCTTATGCATACTCAAGTGGACATCGTACGAGTAGACTTTAATGTTTTGTTTATCGTTCCACGCCCAAATCCACGGCTGGGATGAAGCTTGGGCGGAGATCGGAGCACCTGGCCACTTTTCGCACGAATAGCACACTAATGCTATTTTCGCAGCCTCCATACCACGAGGGCTGGGAATCCAAGATGCCTGGAGCACACGAAGATCTGATCCGCCCATTTGGCTCTGGGAAACCAATTTGGGTTGATGGTGGCCCTTAACAGTGCGGATACTGACGACCGGACCGTGCTTATCGGAGGGGTCTCCGTAAATAATAAACATCAATGAACCTGTCATAGAGGAACCCGTACCGATCGCAGTCCATCCCAGGGAAGACGTTCGAGGGACCTCCATCGTTAGGTACATATCGTGATTATGTGAAGAGATATTGTAGTGCATCACGACACCCATGCAAAAGTCAACCTCTGAGGGTCCATGTTTATTGTATCCGAACCGGCAATATTGAACAGGCTCTGAGAGTGTGAAGCTGGTGAAAATTAATATTAGGGCGTGAATAGACGTGAGAAGATATCTGTTGAACGTAGCCATTGCGCTGGGGAATTCCCACGAAGTGGGAAGTTGTTTGAAAATAAGAAGTATAGACGTTAAGATTCTAAAATTAGAGAGGCAGAAGAGCAGATAGTTAATTAGAGAACCATGACTAAGTGAGTAAATATGAATTTTGTCAACATAATTTATCAGTTAGTTGTTAACTTTCAGAGCCACGTTCGGGTCCCAATTAGATAAGATGTTTTGCCTGGGATGACAAAGGGTTCGTCCTCTCGCTTTTACGGAAAGTTTGATTGGTGCAGAACCACATGCAGGGTCAGCAACGATTATATGCCATGACAGTCATTTTTGTGCAAATGGTCAGCTGTGGACCCTTGGACTTATCCATGGGTGATGCCCTTAAGTTTGTCATCGAACCTTATCTGTTCTTGGCAAGCAGCCGGCATGAAGATCTAGTGATATGATTCTGATTGTGGGAAATGCATATTGTGTATTGTGTTGTTCTCTTTGGATTTTATGTTTGATTATCATTCCTTGAGCATCAATCAATGTGGAGGCAATTCATAATGGCTAAAGCGGTTCAGAGACTGTTGTTTTTACTACTTTTCATCGCCTCAGTTACCGAGATCCTCTGTCGAGACACCCAGTATGTACTCAGGAGCTCGGTCAACCTCCCGGCAGGCTGGTCGCGAAAAGCATCAGTATCGCGGAATCAAATTGTTAGTGTAAGCATTGGGATCAAGCAGCAAGGATGGGACATATTTGAGCAACATCTTATGGAAAGTATGCCAAAGTTTATCTTGGAGGGGGTTGGTTGTTGATATATTAATAGACCTTGCAGTCTCTGACCCATCGCATTCTCGATACGGTCAGCATCTCTCTCTCGATGAGGTGGACCAGTTAGTTCAAGCGTCTCCAGCATCCTTTGACGCAGTAACTGCCTGGCTGCGAGAAGCCAGCTCCGTCCCTTTGAACGTAACAAGTTCCTCCTCTGGAGATTGGATTTCTTTCAGTGCACCTATTTGGTTTCTTGAGCTGCTGTTCGATGCAAAGTATGCACAGTATCAACACGAGGATAGGTCGACTGCCATACGGTCCCTGTCATGGTCCCTGCCTGCCAACCTGGCTGATCACATCGATATTGTAGAGCCCACCAATTCTTTTTTTAAACCACAGGTGCAATCTAGATATGGTGGACCATCCCCACCGAGTTGGGAAACGGAGCAGCGTATCCCAACTTATGAGGAACTAGTGGAAGAGGATGTGCTGGAGCGTGGTCACCTCGACATCCCTCTAGCTCATGAGCTTTCCCAGAGCCCTTCAGTCAAAGAAGCATGCAATCGTCTGGCGATCTCCGTAGTTTGCCTGAGTGTCCTTTACGGAACTTGGGGTTATCAACAGAAGGCACCCGACAAGAATAGTATCGCCCTAGTGAACTTCCTGGGTGAAGTGAACAATCGTTCCGATGTCGACCTATTTCTTAGACGATATAACCCATCAGCCGCAGAGGCGAATGCGGCGTACCAATTCACGACAGAAATTGTAGCGAACGGCGATGATAGGCAGTCACCTAACACCCCAGAGCAAAATGCTGAAAATAAGGGGTTCGAAGGTGCTTTGGATGCACAGACTATTCTAGGACTTAGCTGGCCGACTCCGATGACAGCATATAACGTAGGCTCAAAGCCTCCATTTCAGCCTATTGAAGATCATCGGGAAAATACCAATGAGCCGTATCTCGCATGGCTGCAGCATATGCAATCTAAAGAGACTTTGCCCCACGTTATCTCTATTTCATACGCTGATACCGAGCAATCCGTCCCTCCCGAATATGCACGAAGAGTCTGTAACGAGTTCGCCAAGCTGGGAGCGCGTGGCGTCTCAATCCTTGTCGCAAGTGGGGACTGGGGGGTTGGGAAGAACGAGCGGTGCATAATCGATAGTATCGAGGGCAAGAAAAGACGCTTCGCACCATCTTTCCCAGCTAGTTGCCCTTATGTAACAAGCGTAGGGGCTACACGCCTTGTAGGCTCCGAGATTGTGGGATTCGACGGCCGTGGAGATTTTTCCAGTGGCGGGGGCTTCAGCGACTATTTCGAGAGGCCACGATATCAGATGCAAGCAGTTGAAGATTACCTGAAGGCCCTGGGAAATGAACAACACCACGGACTTTATAACCAAAATGGGCGCGGATATCCCGACATTGCCGCCATGGGATATCACTTCTCTGTGCTTTGGAATGGCGAGGCTCATCTCCAGGACGGAACAAGTGCATCTGCTCCAACAGTTGCTGCAATAATCGCGTTAGTTAATGATGCCCTGCTTGAAAATAGTAGACCACCACTAGGATTCTTGAACCCGTGGATCTATTCCGAAGCCCGTGATGCATTCACTGACGTTACTTGGGGATCCAACAGGGGGTGCAACAGCTCCGGGTTCCCTGCTTCCAGGGGATGGGATCCAGCAACTGGACTCGGTACTCCTGTAAGTTAACTCCCGACTGGGAAGGCTATCGCCAATTCACAACTGACAGCTGACACCATACAGTGGTTCCCGAAGCTAAAGGATCTAGCGTTGACAGCAAGGTTTCGGGCAGATGAGCCGTGGTATATGCAATCTTGAAGGTGGAAGAGATTGATTTAACCATTCCCGAAAGGTTTCACTGCGTTATTTGAAGGATTCCACGTGATTGAACATTATTTCGTTTAATTAAAGTTAAAGTTTAACTCCATTTCAAAAAGTTTAATTGCACTGAATAAGACGAGAGCCTCATTGGGGCATCCAAAAGAATGGCAGTAGATGGAAAACCTATTTTATAAGGTAGCTATATTCCCAGCATCTGCAAGAATAAACACACAGCAATTGATTGGTCAGGGCGGCGAAGCCCGCTTGCCCTGACCAACTCCGTCAAGAGAGTGAAAATTTCAGGTACCTAGATTCTTGTTAAGTTATTCTCATGGAAGCTCTGAGATCACAGGGGAGGAGAAGGAAATATCAACGTACTGTATTCTGAAGTCGAGATACGTCCTGCATCAGGACCGGGGCTAGATCTCTGTCGCGAAGGAGGTTTTGGACAGCTGTATAGGCTAATATTCTCGTATCTTGTGGCGAGACTCCACCTATCGACTCAGAGATTCCAGGATCTCCATGAGGAAACATCAAAGGACTATTCATGGACGAATGGGATTGAGAGGTATGGCTACGCTGGTCAAATGATAGCTCGTTAGGCTCTCCTGCATGACGGTACACTTCGTCTCGAAATATATCTTCTGTGGCTCGAATAACTGCGTCACGGTAGCCTGTTGATTCTTTCTCACTCCAAGTCTTGGAGCCTTGGTGCACTTGGTACAAGAATCTGCTGAGACGCCGAGTACGAGAGTGGAACTGTTCAGATGCAAGGAGTGTATCTTTAGGAAACTCAGCCGTATAGTATTCTGCTGCTGCCGCATCGAGGGATTCATAACCCGCTTCCTCAATGGTTGAGAGGATCTTTTCCAACCGGTGTTCAGTCCCACCGTATGTTGTTCTCCTTCGTTTATTTCTACATGTGCTATTAGACCTACCCGAGGTTTGCGCTATCGTTTCCATGAGCTCTTGAGACTTCAGTCGGAAGGAGTCATCAAAATGACGTGATTGACTCGGTTCGTTATGGAATTTATGGCCTCTATGCTCTTTTATATCTTCACTATGGAACAAGCTACCGCTCAAATCTGGTAGCCGTGAAGAAGGTCCTGTTGTCGGTTCCGAACCCGATTGAAGTGAGTGATAACTTTCAAAAAATAATGGCGACTGGCGGTTATCTAAAGGCCCTATTGGGATCAGTGTGGAGTTGATCTGCTCAAGTGGAACCGGAGGGCCCAGAGGGGAAGAATCGCTGTTACAGCTCCAACGGTGGATATCAGAAGTTCTTACCGACTGTCGTCGGCTAATCGGAAAAACGCTCAGTGGGCTGTTATGAAGAGCCGCTGTCTCTGGAGTAGCACCGGCCGGATGGCTTGTTAATGGGTTCTCTTGATAGAAATTTGCTCCCCACGACGAACCGATATCGGCAAGCTCATCAACGAGCTCCTTCTCCGTTTGCCCAGCTTCGATTGCATCTGGAATGTTATCAATTTCTTCAAAGTAATCCAGCCTGTCGACCAACTTGTCAGTCCTCTATACCGGGTTCCTTCGAATGGATATTTCAAATCGTTCGTTCCTCTCCCTATCTTATTTCCACTTACGCTATAGGATCTGCCGCATTCTGGCTTGGGCTTTCCGACTTCCGTTTCTCCACGGAGGAAATGTTCGCTTGCTCTTGACCTGTGTTGGCGATTTCGTGAACATGTATTTTGCTGGCACCTCTTCTCTTTGCTGTGTGCAGTGTTAGCTGTGTAAACATTGAAGCGGAACCATATCCTATCGGCCCTCGTGAAAAAAATTGAAACGTTAAGGGAAACGAAATACCCTCTCGATGCCGTCGTTGTGCCAGTCTATTCTTTTCCCGTCGAATTTCCCTCCGGCTACGTTCGATGGGAACCAGTAGTGGGATTTCGTTCTTGTCCTTTCGGCCGGAGTTTCCGAACATGGTTTTACTTGATCCTGTTGTCTGTGCAATTAACACCAGGATCTTCTTATTACTTACACTTCACAGGAACTGCTTTATTACCCAAACCGCTTCCTTATCAAATAGCGCGCATGGCCCCTAGGGCCCAATTCCTTGCACCCAAGATTCAAGGCCTCGAAAGCTGAGTGCGCCACAGACTGCCATCGAAAGGAGATCTGACAGGCCCTTTGTAGATCTTTGACAATTTACAGTATTGTCAGCCAGGTACGGCTATAAAGCCCCCCTCCGCGCAACCAGGGCTGAAAAAATAGGCTGCTTTCACTACGGAACATTCTATAGAGGATGAAAAGTTTAGCCTGTGGTTTTCAATGTGTATACACTAACTAAACGAGATCTCCACCAATAACTGACCTATCCTTACAACAATGAAGTTAATAAGTAAGGCATATTTTATGATAGGGAAGAAAACATTTGGAAGTTTCAGCCTTGCACATCGATCACAATTCTGTCCGGTTTCTCTTTTGTTGGCACCTTTTGCTTCAACCTCAGTACTACTCTGGCGGATGCATATCACTTATGGGAAAATTCCATTGGTTGCAAATCGATACACCATTCTTGCTCTCTTCTGAGTTGTATATATTCTAAAGAGTTAGATATATTCCATATGTTTCGATAAAATCATCAAACGCAGCGGGTTGTTATGCCCGTTCATAAATGGGATACCTAAAAGGACCGTTTATTGGCTATGGTTACCGTTCGAAAACAAGATAGAGAGTCGAGATCAACACGCAATGGGCTTCGGAAAATTCCATGAATAACCTCTCCGAAGTGACGGTAATCCACTCTATCTTCTAGAGGCATCCTTTGCCAGCGCGCATTTAGCAGTACGGCAGATCTTTAAACAAATGCAATACCACCATTCCTCATTTTAATTCTGTATTATTTTATTCTGAAGAATATGTGAAGTCCATCCCCAATTATTTATCCGAACGGCACAAGTGGAATTGTTTGCCAGGTTGAGAACAATATACCATTGTACCTAGAGTAACTAGCTGCTGATTGAGTCTTATATATCGAGTTGATAAGGTTATTGGCTCCTGGCTATAAAACGCGGGGACAAAACAACGATTTCTTAAAAGTCTGCTCCTTTTGCATCCAATGGATGCATCGTACCTAGCTGGAGTTATCGGAAATTGGAGCATGGCGGTATGACGGCATGACATCAAAATGCCTTCGAACTTAAGAAAAAGAAACCCACAAGCGGTTGATCGCAAGCTGGTTCAACATTCCCGGGTCCCATATGGTGACACTGTAGCTATTCTAGATCGATCCGACGATTACCACGCTGCCCACTGAATATTTGGACTGAACAGAAGGGTAATGTTGCTGCCTTCAACCGTTTCGCAGTATATTAATTAATTGACTCGCCCTTTTGCCTTTTCCAGGCCAGGTCTCGTTGTCCAACAATCCATTTCCACTTCAACATCCGAAATTCTCTTAAGAATGTCCCATGCGAATCCCCCAAAACTCGATATCGAGAAAGCTCCAACGCCTGTACTCGTTTCAAGAAGTGATGATAAAAATGCCAACGAGAATGGCTCAAGTTCTCAGGGACACCTTGACGAGCTACTGGTAAAGCCAATCGATTGCTTATTCTCCTTTCAGTAAATGATGTTTTCGTACCATTTCACATCTTCATCTTACATATTGGGGTGCGCTTTTACACAATAAATTTCCATAGCTAAACCAAACACACACCCCACTGCATCACTAATCTATTTTCCTGGTTTAGGTGGATTGGGATGGCCCCGACGATCCCAAAAACCCACTCAACTGGAGCATGTTCTGGAAATGGGCCGTTGCTTTGTTGACTTCCCTTGGGGGCCTTGTTACTCTGATGAGCGGGGCGATGTTGGCTCCAGCCCTGGAGGCCATTGGCAAGGATCTCAACACCAGCCCTGACACCACCAACATGTGTCTTTCCATTTTCGTGCTAGCCTTCGCATTTGGTCCCATGGTTTTAGCTCCTATGACGGAAATATTTGGTCGTCGCAATGTATGGATTGCCTGTTCCGCATGGTATGTCATATGGAACGGTGTCTGCGGCTTTGCAAACTCGCAGGGGTTGATGTTGGCTGCACGACTTTTGTCCGGACTGGGAGCAAGTGCAGAGTTTGCTGTGAGTCAAAATCCTAATCGTATTCCCTTCGGTCTGGTTCACCTGACGCTGATTATTTGTAGGTGTCAAATCCGGTTTTGGGAGATACCTGGAGGCCAGAAGAGCGCGGGCGATCTTTTGCTGTTGCGACCTTCATCCCTCTTCTTGGACCCGCCTTAGGTCCGATACTGGGAGGCGTGATCACTAATTCCGTAGGCTGGCGATGGCTATTCTGGGTTCTATCCATATTCGACGCTGTTCTCACCATTGCTGCTATCTGGCTCTTCCCAGAATGCTATGAACAGCTCCTACTTCACCGGAAGGCGCTCAAGTTACGTAAAGAAACCGGGCGACAATACCACACCCGATGGGGCATCCACAGCCAACCATTTCTCCAGAAGCTGAAGCGAAGTGTTGTTAGACCAGTGTGGATGTTGTTCACCCAACCAGTCATCCAACTCGTCAGCATCTTCCTTGCGTATAACTTTGGTACGCTATACTTTGTTTTGACCAGCTTTGCCTCCATCTGGATTATCCAATATCATCAGTCCGTATCCGCATCAGGGTTGCATTATATCGCTCTCGTTATCGGCTCTACCATTGGTGCCCAACTTGGAGCGGCTCTCACAGATCGACTGTGGGCCTATTTGAAAAATAAAGCAAAGGGAGAAACAGCACCGGAATATCGGATCCCCCTCATGATTCCGGGTTCGATTGTTATCCCCATCAGCTTGTTCTGGTTCGGATGGGCAGCGGAAACAAAGCAAAAATGGATTGTAGTTGACATTGCTGCGGCATTGTTCAACTTCGGAATTATCATGAGCACGCACTCGCAACAGCAGTACGTTATGGAAGCGTACGGGGGCTATGTGGCGTCAGCTACGGCTGCCAGCCAGTTTCTACGAAGCATTTTTGCTTTTACATTTCCGCTGTTTGCACCAGCCCTTTTCAGCCGTTTGGGTTACGGTTGGGGCCATAGCTTATTGGCATTCGTTTTCTTGGGACTGGGAATTCCTTCTCCGTTTATTCTTTGGAAATTTGGCGCAAAATTGAGGGCTAGAGGGAAGCCACTGTTATAAATGGGGTCCATACTAAACCTACACAGCCGAGCAGGAAAAGATGAGACCTAGATAGTTATTAGCTAGAGACTGTGATTTACCGGGTCGAGAGGTTCGCTATTATGTTACACTCACCAAACCTGCCCATTACTCAGCTTTTTCTTCTTCCACTCCCTCTCTTTCTTCTTCTTGTTGCAACTTGCTGAATGCTGGAACCTGAGCGGCAGAATGTTACACAGCGACGAGCTGAAGTTTCATCTGCGGTAGGCTTTGGTAAAATCCAACCCGATCTTCAATCTAACCACTTAGAGAAACTTGATTTTTGTTTCGTCGCCGGTGCAGCCGATTAATGGGAATCGACCAGTATTTTTTCACGGAGGGAGCACAGGAGATGTCGAAATGGGGGAATACATCTCTTCACTCAGTGTGGCCTTCGGCCAGAGGCACCTGCAGAGCGAATCCGATCGCCGTTGGGGGCCGAGCGGGTCAGCCTGACCCTCGTGAATGCTGATGGATGAAGATCTATCATCTAACTAGTTAACTAGTTTCTAGCCGGATACAGTCCAATGTTGATCAAAGCTTAAACACCCCTCACATCTCAGCTGCGCAGCCTTTGTGCTCTAAAATATCAGGCTACCCTCAAGGGGTTAGAGAGAGGGCTAACCTACATTAGTGAAAAGCCAGCTTTTCGCGGGTTTCATTGAAGTTAAGTTTCAGGCCTGAACTTCCAGGCATCAAAGCGCTTGACACCGAGCCAATCTCAGCAACCCCTTATGGCCCAGATCCAAGGACAGGCCTTAACTAATGGGGGCGAACCGTCATGCCCACGGGTTCTGGAAATTAGGCATAAGCGCTGGGGACTATGATTATCTATAGCTACCAGCTGACTTTTATGTTATGTCAGATTATATTACAAGGCCTTCAGCACGGCTAACTACCAGGCTGTCAGGAAATACAAACCGATACTCAGAACGAAACAAGACTGCCTACGTCAAATTGGACAATCACTCGTGGATGATGTGCTGCGATGAATCTCTTGTTAAAATATGACTGTTCCACGGGAGCTAGTGTCTATGCATCTCTCAAGACTTAGCTTATTGAAGATAAATTAACCCCCCTGTTGGGTCCCAAGGGGCTATTAGGAGATAATCCGGCTGTCATCGGTGATTCAGGTGCAAACAGGTTTATTATAAGCCATTGCCATCCCTTAATTGACACAAATAGGGGTTGATCAATAAATGGATTTCGCCATGGGTCCTCTCAAATGGCAAAAGCATTGCCGTGGGACAAAACAAAAGTCCCCTTCCCCTTCCGAGGCTTCTGATCAATTTCAGTGGTGTCCGCTAGCTGCACCGATTTTATCTCCTTCCCCGGTTGGATATGCAACACCTAGAAATAAAAAAAAATAAAAGAAAAAATGAGAGTATTAGCATCCATTAATTTTCTTTTAGGGGGGCTTCGAACTGATATTTTGAGCTTACCAAATACAGGATGAACCAGCCAGCCCGGTTTCATCATGTCAACAGTCCGAGCCTTGGTCCATTGCTCTAACTTTTTCCAATTGACGCATTGATGGGACGTAGCATTTGCAATAGGGATCCGGCTGCTGTCATGCCATTCGAACGTGATCAATCCGATATCACCGTGGCACATAGCAGATTGGCGGAGAAAGTCGATACAGTGTTCTAGGTTAGAGGTAAGAGAATTGAAGATTTGGATGGGAAATGGGATGGTAAACCATTTCAGGCAGCAAAACATACCATTATGGAGCCTATTCATTTCAATGTCCTCTGCAGATAAATCCGTGAAATAGTAGTCCGGGTACATATACTGATGAATACGCTTTAAGCAGTGGAGTTCATGGTATACATTGAGGGTGCCGATGTAGCCGTCCCCGTCAGGTATGCGAACGGTGATATCCTCACGGTCATAGTGTTTTATGTACTTTGACTCGACCATGATGTTCTCATCTACAAAAGCTTGTTAGTCTCTTGTGCGCTCCTTTTGCTTTGCAGCAAGATATGTACCATTGGCAGGGGTAAATAAGGCTTACCATTAAGGAGATCATGCCAGGCTTTGTCGAGTTCCGCACTTGGCATCCCTGAGAAGGATCCCTTTTCCGTAATCCGATCTTCTAAACTAAACATAGTGTCTTTCCACTCTAAGGCCTTTACGGCGGGAGCTACGGAGTTATTAGCAACTCAGCCAAGTTGATACGGAAATGAATATGAAACCAGAGAATTCAAGAAACAGGACAGAAACCCACAGAACGGCATTCCTTGGATCCGCTCAGCATTTACATTCTTGCTTTTCCACAAAGCGACCAAACTCCCAACATACAGGGAGAAACCCACAATATGAGCAATGATCATGAATCGTCCATTTTTCCACAAGGGCCTTCGGTTAGAAAATGTATGGTACTGGATCTCTTCGAGTAGGCCATCATCCGAACCCTTCTCTTCAGACGGACGTCTTGGAGAAGAGCCAGGAGATTCGGGGGCCCTGTAGGCATATTGGCTTTTACCTTTGTACCATGCAATTTGCCTTAGTTTAGTGAAATACGCCATAATGGCAGACGGATGAAACAAAACGCAAGTCTGTGATCTGAGTATTTCTGTTTGATGCGGAGTCTTGTATAAAGCAAACATTAGGACAACAGACATGAGGGAACGAGCATCATTGTAGAAATCGCTACGCTAGGTTACGTGATTATTCTGGAGTGGCACACCTCCAGGCATGTGGTGAGGGGATAGATGCGGTCACAATATCGTCAGTAATGGATGACACCATCCTCAAGAGCATATCAGTCGGCGTATTTTGTCATGATGTTGGTAATTTCTCTGCATTGTCATCACGACCGTACTGGGAATCATCATCCGATGACAGTACAGCGCGATGACACTTTTTTTCAGCTCTTGCCACAACAGGCATATGCGGATTTATGGTTGAGCTGCAGCGTTCGGCTGAGCAAAGGTAGAAGGAAAATGACGATGGCTTCCCTCTACCGGTTGGGACTTGGTACCAAGTCCCAACCGGTTGGCGACTCTTCTTCAAAAGCGATATGTCTTTATGGATGCTATACGTGATTCTTTTTGCGAGCATTGGAGCCGTGTATCCCTCAGCGACCAGGCGAGTTTCATACACCTTGAAAGAATCTCATCCAACTCCATCAAAATGGATTCGCGAAGGTATGGCACCTCCGGCGATGAACATCTCCCTCCAAATTGGTCTCGCTCAGGGCCATCCGACGGAGCTAGAAAAAAATCTTCAAGAAGGTTAGATTTTCTGCCTCCGCAACTGGGACATTATCCGTTACTGAAGGATTGCTAGTTTCCAATCCATTGCACAAAAGATATGGTCAGTTTTTGACCAGGGACGAAGCAGCCAGACTACTTCGACCCCAGCAGCATGTTATCGACCGCATCCAAGCCTGGTTGAAAGATAACGGTGTACCGATTCATCGTCATTTCTTCAACGCAGCCCGAGACTGGCTTACAATCACTGTGACAATTGCGGAAGCCGAGCTTTTACTTGGCACTAAGTATTCCATATATAGATATGGGCAACATTCTGCGATTCGAACAATGGAGTGGTCATTACCACAAGACCTACATGACGGTATAGACACCATTCAGCCGACAACGTCATTTATGCGGATTCGCTCACATATCAAACAACGTCAAAATGAAGACCACGAGGTCACAGACCTTAACAAACTCGCAGAGGATGCTACAGAGGGTATTGGAACCGGTGTGGATTTGAACAATATCCCGCCAGGACTAACTCCTCAACAAGCATGCAACGAGAGTGCTGTAACGCCCCTCTGCCTTCGTACATTGTATGGAACCCTGTACTACAAGGCCGATTCCAGGAGAAAAACAAGAATGGGACTCGTCAATTACTTGGGAGAATTCAACAATCGCTCCGACATTTCACAATTCCTCAAGACATACCGACCAGACGCCCTTTCAGGGGCAGAGAACTTCGAAGACATTAGCATACAGGGCGGAATCAACCAGCAAAGTCCCGTCACACCTGAACAGTATGCTTACGGTGTTGGGCGAGAGGGCAATCTCGACGCGGAAGTAATGATCGGTATCGCCCACCCAATCCCGCTTACAACGTATTCTGTTGGAGGGCCTGAGCCACCATTTATCGCAGATTCGTTCACTCCCACCAACACGAACGAACCTTTCCTTGCCTGGCTGAACTGGATTCTTGACCAGCCCGACTCCAATCTTCCTAGTGTAGTTTCCACTTCGTATGGCGACATTGAACATACAGTGCCCATATCATACGCCCGTCGAGTATGCAACGGCTTTGCCCAACTTGGTGCTCGAGGTGTTTCCGTTATCATGGGATCTGGAGATCATGGGGTTGGCGACCCCGGTGACTGCTATTCGAATGATGGCCTCTCCACCCCTGAATTCCTCGTAAGCTTTCCGGATTCCTGTCCCTGGGTGACATCTGTCGGGGCCACAAAAGGCATCCAACCGGAGGTAGTTGCCGTAAACGAGCGAAATGGGTTCTCATCTGGTGGCGGCTTCAGTAACTATTTCCCGCGTCCCGATTACCAAGTCAATAATCCCAAAAGCGTGTCTCAATATCTCTCAAATATTGGGTCTCTCCATTCTGGGATGTTCAATCCACATGGTCGTGCAATCCCTGATGTTTCTGCCCAGGGATATCGCTATGTGACGATATGGAACGGGGAGACAAAACTGGTCGACGGTACATCAGCCTCAACCCCAACATTTGCTGCTATTGTTGCCCTGGTCAATGACGTGTTGGCAGCAGAGAACAAACCATCTATGGGATTTTTAAATCCCTGGCTGTATGCGACGGGGTATCAAGCTTTCAGCGACGTCACCGAAGGCTCCAACGGTGGTTGTAATACAACCGGATTCCCTGCTCTGCCAGGGTGGGATGCGGCCTCTGGCTGGGGTACACCTTGGTTTCCGAAATTCAAGCAATTGGCCTTGCAAAGAAAGAGGAGAGCAACACGGCCCTGGTATATCAAATGGACTTCGTAGAAATTGAAGTGGAGTGTTTACCCAACTTGTCAAGGGCAGCGCCACAACTATTAACGTAGTTAGTGAAACTGTTAGTCAGCCTAGTCTGTCTAGTTAACTAACAACTAAGAGGTTTAAATCAACCTCCGTTTGCCAATTTTCCTTCATATTTTGACGAAGAATTCACACACACACACATCTATATGATGTCTATTGATTCTGCGGCATTGCGCACACGGGCTCATTTATCTAACATATTCTGTTCATGACCGGCTGGTCATGCTAATGTTTCTGTAACTGAAAGTTATTCGCCAATTCGAGTCTGCAGAATAGCGATGTGGTGCATGTACAAGACAGCATGAGACAATGCGGAGCATTTTACAGTTTATAGATTCCAAATGCTTCATTGCTACTGTATATCCACGGAAATTGAAGACGGCTACTCAAATAGGGAATTGGATGGAAGTTGATGATAAAAGAATGACGTTGAACTCCCGCCCTTCTCTCCCGAATAAAACTTCGACAAGCAGAATAACTAGTCTTCCACAATCCTCCTTCTCGCAATACACATTGAAAAAAGCCAGAAGCAAATGGAAATCCCATTTACATGTAAAGGTGCAGGCGGCTCATTATACTCATATGGGGCGTCCTGGACCCTTTCGCCAAAAACCCCCTTCCCCTTCGGAATATGCAAGAGAACCTGCATCCTTCGTGAAGAGACGGCAACGGGGAAGCAAATGATTGACGATTGTCAGGAATCTTTTTAAGAATTAGACCTGTGGAGACTGTTACGCATTTTATATTTTACTCACTTAGTCAACGACATAACGAGTCACAGCGCCGGAACGCTTGTCGACGACGTATTTAGTGGCCGCATCTGCGTCAGAACGCTTGTCGACGACGTATTTAGTGGCCGCATCTGCGTCAGAACGCTTGTCGACGACGTATTTAGTGGCCGCATCAGCATCAGAACGCTTGTCGACGACGTATTTAGTGGCCGCATCTGCGTCGGATCGCTTGTCAATTACATATTTAGTTGCAGCATCAGCGTCAGAACGCTTGTCGACGATGTATTTAGTGGCCGCATCTGCGTCAGATCGCTTGTCGACGACATATTTAGTGGCCGCATCTGCGTCAGAACGCTTGTCGACGACGTATTTAGTGGCCGCATCTGCGTCAGAACGCTTGTCGACTACGTATTTAGTGGCCGCATCGGCATCAGAACGTTTGGCTACCATTGACAGAACCGGTATGTTAGCTTCCGAACGAGTATCTATTGCCGAAGGTGTTATTTCTCTGGGGGGGGGGGCCCTCCAATAGCCATGATGATAGAGATCTAACCTGGTGAAGCCGGTGCTCCTGCGACTAAGGTCGCAAAGAGAGAAATAAGTGTCAATAGATTCTGGAGCTGCATTTTGGTGGGTTTTCGCTTCTTAGTTTCTCTGGGACAGAAATTTTCAATCTTCGGTGAACTTTGGGCTTACGGGGTGTGGGCGGATCGACACATATGATTTGAATTCGGAGACCAAAATACGAATTATTTATATGGAATAATTGTTTGATATCCGTCTTGTGTGTGAGTCAACATAACGCTAACTATTGTCATATCATATTCTGTATGTCACCGTCGTGATGCAATGTTCAGAACCTATGATACAGTGCTTGACGAGTTCTTCAGCTGAATTATGCGGTCATGAGCCGATGACACTCCTCTAATGACCGCGCATAATCGTTGATGACTTGCCTGGTTGTCATGGTGTGTCCGCATAGCTGTTGTCTTCACTGAGGATTCCCTGAATGACAGTTATTGACATTACCATGATTGACTAGCCAACTCTAACTGCAGTAGATGGCCAATGTGGTCAACCGCATCAGCAAGAATAGAAGGCAATGTCAAACGTAATTACTCTGTGAATGGTCTTCCTGTCATCCCCTTGCAAGATTCGACATGGAGGAAGAACTGGTGGTAGTGCATTGTTAGTAGGCAGGAATCGAATCTGAATCCTCCAAGATAATCACTTGTTAACTTACTATCCAAAATCTCATCCAGATTGTCCTTCCCTTTCTCTTCCATCCATCTGTCTTATTGCTGTTTTGATCAAATGTCCCACTCTAGCAGGAGATCATTTTCCACCTGAAAATGGATTTGGGAAAACAGAGGCCTACATACGACGATTCTTCTTTACCTTCTTCCTCGGAGAGTGCAGGCACAACAGATACACTGCTGGAAAAATCATCGGCTCTCTATCATGAAAAAAAGCTACCGTTTTGGCGGGAACATATCAAAATCGTCCTTGTGACAGGCATAGCTTTTTTATTTCTCTTCGCTTTCAGCGCAATTGTATTTGAGAACAATCGAAAACTGGAAAAAAAGCTGCAAAGCAGCTTAATTTACTGTTAGAAGTCCCTGAATGCTAATGTTCTTGTTCCTCAATGTGGATACCTGCCCCAGTGCAATCAGCTAATCTCAATACAGCTCCTGCAAACGAAGCGTTGAAATGGAACGTTGTTGAATGGAAACATGACGACGGTGCTCAAGGAGATTACGTGGGTGAACCAAGGCCTGCGCTTGAAAAAGCCTGGAAAGATATCTTTGATAGTGCGTGCTCTTAGTCTATCGACACATGGAACTTCATAACTGATGAAGCATATCACCCTCCAAGTTATGAATGTTCGCCTATCAGAAGATGATCTGCAAGCAGTGGGACGCCTCAAAAATGCTGTTGCATTGCCTGACGGTTCCGGATATGCAGGCACACTAAATGTCTTTCACGAACTGCATTGTGTGGTAAGACATCGGCTCTTTTCTGCGCTTTCATCTAAATGTGTCAAATGTAAAGAAGAGCTTCCTGACGCAAGAGTCTCAGCGATGGCTACACAAATTTGTCCATAAAGATCACTATTTTAAGGGAGCCACCGCACACGAAGAAGCAATTATGAAGCTGCATTCCCGTTTGTATACCGTACTTATTTTTAAAAGCAAAGAGGTCCGAAACAGCTAACTGGGCAATGTGGACCGTTTCAATTCTAGACCACTGCTTAAACTATCTTCGCAAATCGGCAATGTGCCATGGCGATGTGGGCATCATTACATACAACTGGAAACGGGATTCCTTGAAACCGAGTGCCACGGCCACAACCCATCAGTGCGCAGACTGGAGCAGAATCACGCAATGGTCGAGCTCCAGGTCAATTAATATGACAAAGCCGGGCTACATAGTAAATCCTGTTCTAGGTTTGTGATTTCATCTCCTTGAGTTGCTTCTATCTGAAGTGGAACCATTTGGATTTTTATTTTCTGTTGCTTGTTTTTATTAGAATCAACTAACCTAATGTGCTCGTGAAATAGGACCGGTATTTAAAGAAGGGGAAGTTGAGGGACTAGCTGTCGGGATACCGGAGCATGATATTGGCGGAGATGTAGATGTTGATGCAGTTGGTTAAGTAGATGATATGAAGTCAGCACTGGTATATTGAGAAACTTCTACCTTGCTTCGCATTCAGATGAAAACATGACACTGGTTAATTAATGGAAAATCAGAACCTAATGATATCTTGATATTCTTTCTTCCGTACCCACTATGTCAATAACATGTATCTATAGATTCATACTACATCATTCCCAACTTGGAAAGTGAATCATCTATTAATGGAATCGTAAAACCAGGGCCCTAGGTATCATAATCAGTCAAAGCACATAAACGGATTCTCCCCTCTTGCATCAGGCACCTACTCTCAACCCAAAATGTAACAAAATACATCAACATCTCCCAGCAGGACATCCAACCCTTGTTCCCAACCTCTCCCCTCCAAATCCCAACACAGAAAGCATCGCATTAATGGTCCCTCCAATCCCCTCCCCAGCCATAAACCCTGCTGCAACCGCATATCCAAACGCCTCAAAACCCGACGGAGACCTCCATGTCCAAGCGGCCGCCACCAGTGCGCCAATAAACATTGCAATCCCATACTGTAGCGACGGCAGCGTAAAAGCCATTGCTAAGATCATAATGTTAGGATGGTACGCACGCATCCACTCCCATCTCCCTACCCACACGTTGTGTCGGAGGATGACCATCAGAACACCGATTACGGCCATTATGAGGGAAAATACGAGAGAGGAGTATGGAATGGGTAGAATAGGTTCGGTGGCAGCCACAGCTACGGCACGCCAGGCGGCGATGGATGGAGATGCAAATTCACAGGTGTTTGAGGCAGCGGCGGTGTTGTTGTTGTTGTTGTTGCTGTTGCTGTTGGAATCCGAGAGGTTGTTTTCGGCGGATAGGATGCACGGGTAGGCGGTTGCGAACATGAGGAATATGGATGGTGCGAAAAAAGTGGCAAAGAGAGTTCCTATTAACTGCGTTGTGTATTGAAGCCGAGAAGATGTGCCCAAGAGGTATCCAACTCGGAAATCGCCCATGAGATCTGCAGACAACGTGAGTTTTTGAGCAGAGCTGAAAGAGGAACCAAGTTATTCTATATAGGGGTATATGCATACCACAAGCTTGGTTTGCACCGATATTTGTTAGAGCGCCGCCTAGAAGATTCAGGCGCTGGGAGTTTTGAATGGTGTGATGCCCAGTTGTGCTGCTCAAAGTAACTTGAGATACTTTGGAAAGGACACTAAGTGGTGTAGTGTCTGCATAGTTTTGCTTGTCAGAGTCACCCTATTCCATGCCATTAAGAACTGGAATGGAACCCACCGGTTGCTCCAGTCGCTTGGATAGCCATAAGGGACAGTACAAATACCAACAGGAGAGCCAACAGCGATTCTGAAACCCCCATGCCAAACTGAAACTTTAGGGCGGGACACGCCACAATGATAATTACAACCAGACCAGGTAGCCACATCCAGAGTCTAATACTGTCTTTCGAGTTGACACCATCGCCCTCGTCCTTTTCTGTTAAAGGAGTATAGAGATGGTTGCTCTGTCGCAAGCTCAGCACCTTGCAGCTAATTGCTTTAGTAAAGTCTCGAGAAACAATCCAAAACACTCGCCATTGACATGCAAGTTCTGCTTCTAATTAGCCCACCATACTGTAGTAACACATTTATATATTATCTTGTTTATACACACCGATAAGTGCCACTGCTGCCATAGTAATCACACCTGGCCATAGAAGCCAGTATCGAGGACTTGGGCTAGATGCGGTTGCGAAGTTCTTCGACAGAGACGAGTATGACATTAAGTTTGACCAATTGGGGTTTGTGGATGCAGGCTCTCCAAAGGCCATTTCATGACTTACCAAATATGGCCCGATGATACCCCTGTCTACTGATTAGCCAACGATACAGACGATCCAGTTGAGGTTGCTAACCTACCATGCAATAACAGACCCTGCAGCAAAAGAGATTGCAACATTGATTCCCACAAGCATCCCAGACCCGATGAAAGCTGGCGTCCATTCAACAAACCAGCCCCAGCTTTCCATTGACATGGCCAATTCAACAAAAAAGCCACTGTCAACCAGCCAGGTAAATACATGCCAGTCCTGCAAATTCAAGGGAGTAAGCCAAAAGGTTCAGAGAGAGGAAGCTTAACTTCTAAACTTCGCGGGAGGTAGATCTTACCCAGAGAATGCCAATGGCATATTGGGACGCAACACGTAAAAACACGGCAAAAACAAACGCATAGAGCAGAGCAGCAAGTTTCTGCCGTGCCATTGATGCCCCACTGGCAGCTTGATGCATACTACGGATAGTGATAGCAGTAGCAGAGGACGATGGGAAAATGAGATTAAGTTCTCGGGCAACCTGGACCAAGAAGAAGTTCCTCACTGGAGAGGACATGGTATTGTTAAACTTCATGGGAAAAGGGGCATGGAAGAAAAGATGACACATACGTGGCGCAACAGACAAAAGGCCAAAATAGCCTCCTACGGCAGTCAATGTTACAATTCGAAAGAAATCTTTCGCTGGGACAGAGAGGAGCTCCAGCTGATATAGCGCAGGGATGGCTGATACAAAGACATTCGACAAACCTCCGGCCGCCGTGGCAGCGGTTTGGACGATATTGTTCTCATGGGGGCCAAAGTTGCTGTCGCCAGTGTACTTCGTCCAGGATCGAAGGACAGCAAATCCCACAATTGACTAGATATATGACCTTAACTATTGGCATGCGCGCTTGTCATCTGTCATTATAAAGACAGAAACTACTCACTCCGAAAATGTTGGCGGAGGTCGTCCAGCCAGCTTTCAGACCAAGATATATATTAGAAGCGTTGACCAGTGCTCCGCACAGACATCCAACGAGTAATGCCCGGAATGTAAATATAGGGTTCTGGTCATGATGCATGTCCTGGAAAGGGGAAAATTTGTCTTCTTGGACGTCCCCTCCTTCGGGCACTATGGTATTGCCATCCAGTGCGTCTGCTCCATCTGACTGGATCTCAAAGTTGTTTTCATCTCCA